CTGAACAAGTGAGAGCACATGGACCCCAGTCATAAAGCTGGGGAACCAGCAATGGACTGAATCAAGTCCTCCGAATGAGGGTGCCAGTTAGGAGGTCTGGGAAGGTGAGGGCACCTCTGACAATGGAACCAGTATTTATCCCTATGGAGAGATACTCTTTCAGCCCAGATACACAAAGGAGGGCCTACGCCCTCCTCCAAATGATGTGACAGACTTTGATGATCCCTCATGGAAGGCCTCACCCTCCCTGGGGAGTGGGTAGGTGGATGGGTGGCTCACAGGGAGCTGTGGGAGGGAGAGGGAACTGGGATTGATATATAAAATAAGATTGTTTCTAAATTAAATCATTTTTTTAAAAACTAAAAATTAAAAAAAAAAACCAAACTGTCTTAAAAAAAAAATTATTGATTTGGGGCTGGAGAGACAACTTAGTGGTAAGAACACCTACTATTCTTGTAAAGGACCTGGGTTTGGCTCTCTTGCCCACAAGGTAGCTCACAGCCATTTGTAATTCTAGTTTCTGGGGTCCAGTGCCTCTTCTGACCTTCTGAAGCTCCTGAATGCACATAGTGCAACATTCTCCAGCACAAACACACGTGTGCATGCACACACACACACACACACACACACACTTAAAAATATTGATTCAATGACCTTTTTGGCTAATTCTAATTTGTTTTAGTTTACATTAGTATGGTTGCTTTTTCTTTCTGTATTGTTATAGTTTTTGTTTTTTGTTTTTTAAGGCAAGGTTTCACATTGCTGGGCTGGTCCCCTTGTTCCTCTGCCTCTACCTCCCAAGTGCTAGGATTACAGTGTGTGCTACAATGCCTGATGAGAACAGTCATTTGGGTTCTACTATTTTAATATATCTAGAGTCAATTATGATGTTAACTGTTGATTTTTCTTCTCCTCCTAGAGACACATTTACACAATGTGCAGAGGGCCTTGTACCATGCTTTATTAGTTTTGAAAGCTCAGCCTTGCTTAGGCTCACTTCTGGATAGCTCTTTTAGCTTAAATTAACCTGCTTCTCTTCATCTACCTCCCTCCCTCCCTCCCTCCCTTCCTACTTTACTTTCACTGCCTTCCATGTCTGACTGGAGGCTGCCTGGCTTCTTGCCCTGGGCATGTTCCCCTTTCTCCCCCCATTCTCTCTTCTCTGGCTCCTCTCGACCCTAGATTTCTCCTTCTATTTATTCTTTCTCCTGCCTAGCCATTCATCTTTTTATTAGACCAATCAAGTGCCTTATGTAAAGAAATACATCTTTATATAATTAAACTCACATCCTTACTTCATTAAACAAAAGCAGCATAAACAAACGTAACACATCTTTGCGTAGTTAAAATAATATTCCACAACAGCGCCTCCTTTGATAGCTGAAACCCTTCCAGATCAACAAAGCTCTTCTCAGCCTCAGTGAGAAACACTCAGAAATGTCTGTTCTGTTTCAGTCTGGACACGGTCCCTCTTCCTGTGTACAAGTTTTATAATAATCCTGAATCATGAGGGCCTGGCTTTATATACAGCACAAGCATTTTACTGGTGAGCCATCTGCCCATCTCATGGACACATTTGTGGGTAGCTTACCTTAATATATAATCCCTAAATTAACTTATTCTTTTTTTCTTTCCTACACTTTTTAGATTTATTCTTACTTACTCCAATTTTTTTCCTCTAGCGTTTGGGATGTGTTCATCATGTGTGCTCATTATGTCTATCTCCAGGATTATTATAAAACTTGTACACATTCAAGTCTTGAGCAAAATAAAAGGAAGTGGAGGAGTTATGCACGCTTCCTGATCTCAAAAGGCACAAGCCACAGTGAACAAAACACACACAGGCTGAGAGTGTGCCCCGCAGAGAGCCCAGAAACAAACAGATGCATTTATGGCTAGCCGATCTTTAGCAAAGATGCAGAAAGCGTAGAAAGGGATAGGACAACTTCATTGCTCTAACCGTGTGGGAATCTCGATCCACAGGCAGAAGTATGAAACTGGGCCCTAACCTGGTGCACAAGAATCATTCACAACTGATAAAGAATGAAAAACAGGACTGGTGAGATGGCTTAGTGGGCAAAGCCACCTGCAGCCAGGCGGGACGACCCAGAGCCCACATGGTAGAAGGTGAGAACTCCCCCAGGTTGTCTTCTGCGTGTCTCACAGGAGCTATAACACATCTGTATGTGAGAACACACAGAAAATAAATCAATAAAAATGTAAAAGGAAGCCAGGTGTGATGGCACAGGCCTTTAATCCCAGCACTTGAAGGCAGATGGATCTCTGAGTTCTAGGCCAGTCTGGTCTACATAGAGAGTTCCAGGACATCAAGGGCTACGTAAACAGACACTGTGTTACAAACACCAAGAAAATAAACAAACAAACCAAAGTTAAAACAAATTTTTGAAGAAGAAAGCAATTTTCCAAGCTGAGCTTAAGGAGTGGCTCAGCAGTTAAGAACACGTACTGCTCTTGCAAAGGACCCCAGTTCAGTTCCCAGTGTCACCGGGCACTGACAGCTAGTTATAATCCAGCTGCAGGGGATGCAACACCCTTCTCGTGGCTTCTTCTGCTACTGACATGCACCTGTGCGCGCGCACGTGCACAAACACACACACACACACACACACATCACAAATACAACTTTAGAAAGTATATAAGAAGAAAACAATTTAAAACATAAAGGGCGGGAGGAATGGCTTAATGCTAGAAACAAACACACACAAATAATAAACACTAAAGAGACTGGTATCCTAGTAACCCAATTCAGGATATACATCTACAGGAGACAACATCAGGGAGATCTGCTCTCCTGTGTTTACTACAGCACAATGGCTGAGATACAGAATCAACCTACAAGCCTTCCCACAGATGAAGGGAATGTAGAATATATATACACAATCTAATGCTCTTTACCTTTTAAAAGGAGGGACCCTGTCGTACACAACAAGATGGGTGAATATGAGCACATTATGCTATATAAGCCAGGCACAGAAGAACACTTAACCACAAGATCTCACTGATACGTGGGATTTGCACACACCTAAGTCACCCAGAGTGTAGCTTACAGATAGGACACTTGCCTTGCATGCTTGAGGACCTAGACTCCACCCACAGCACCAATAAATGATTAGATAAAACAACAAAATGAAAAGCCAAACTCATAGGAGTAGAGAGTAGCATGATGGGTAGCCTCTGCTGCAGGAAGGGTGATTGATAGATGACAATCCCAGGGCATGGACTCTCGGGTGGGAGGAGTCAGCTGTTGTGGCCTGCCTATTGTACAGCTGGTAGTTAGAATACTAACAAACTATTGTATATCTTGATTTAGTTTGCTGATTTGCAAAAGACTTTCTGTAGTTACAGGACCTACTTATTTGAAGTTATGGTTAACATTTTAAGGATAGTGAATAAGTATCCTCTGAAATAACAGCAAAACAAAAAACAAAAATACCAGAGTGAGAATTGAGATTCAGGAGCATGGTGGTATGTGCCTTAAATCCCAGCCCTAGGAAGGCAGAGGCAATTCTCCCTGAGCTCAAGACCAAGATGATCTACATAGCCTGTTACAGGACAGTGGGGCTGTGTTAAGACCCTGTCTAAAATAATAATAAGAAGAAAAATAATAATAATTCTATCTTGAAGCACTTATGTGGGCCAGCTACTATAAGGAAGAGTTTTAAAAACATTACTTTATGGAAATGGAGAGATGGATCAGTGATTAAGAGTACTTGCTGTTCTTCCAGAGGTCACGAGTTTGGGCCCAGCTCCCAAATCAGTCAGCTCACAAACATCTGTAACTCCAGCTCCTGGGGACCCAATGCCTTGGGCTCCCAGCACCTACACTCACATGCACAGACAGACAAACTGACAGATACCTAAAAATAAATAGCTGGGGAAGGGAGCTGACTCTTCGTGGCTAAAAGCACTTGCTGCCCCTGCAGAGAACCCAGGGCTGGTTCCCAACAGCCACACAGCAGCTACCGGACCTCAGTCCTAGGGGATCTGGTGCCCTCTTCTGGCCTCCAGGTGTGCATGTAGTGCATATAAATACATTCAGGCAAAACACTCATACACATAAAATAAAATTAGTAAATCAGAAAAAAAAATGGGGCTGGAGGAATAGCTCAGAAGTTAAGAGCGCTGGCTGCTCTTACAGAGGATCCAGTTTGATTCCCAGCACCCTTTTCATTTCAACTGTCAGGGGATCTGGTGCCCTCTTCTGTCCTTTGAAGGTACTACACACATGGTGCACAGACATATATGTAGCAAAACACTCATTCGCATACATTTTTAAATGCTTATTTTTATCTCTGTGGTGTGTGTGTGTATGTGCGCGCGCACGCGCGTGTGCACGTGAGTGCATATAGGCCGCAGTGTTCGTGTAGAGGTCAGAGGTTTTCCCTTTCTACTCTATGAGATGGGTCTCTTTTTTGACCCTGCATATGCCAGGTTGACGGCTCATAAGCTATTTCTCTGCCTCAAGTTAGGAGGACACACTGTGCCCAGTCTTTCCTGGACTCTAGAGGTCTGAACTCAGTTCCTCATATGCATGACAAGTACTTTACCCACTGAGCTGTCTCCACACCCAGGACTTTCTGTTCCTCAAATGTGCCAAATGTGGGCTTTCCTCAGAATCCTGTGCTCGTTCCCCTGGCTCAGCACCTTCCCTGACTCCCACCGATTTTGTCTGTTGCCCTGTTTCTACCAGCCCTCTGCTCAAATGTCACCGTGTACCCCCTGCATCCCTCTGTTTTCCCTGCCTTTCTTTACATGTCCTCTCCTGGTCTGTCACCATCGACACCATGTCGGCTTACTGACTGTTTCTCACACTGTAACATGATCTGCATAGCAACAAGAGTGTGCTGTGTTTCTGCTCGAGTAGCATCTTGCTGGAAATATGCGTACCGCACTTCTAGAAAAATGCCTGTCCAAAGGTCATTTGGGATGGAGAAATCAACAGTGCAGAAGGGCACTGCTCGAGCAGCAACCCTATCTACCTTCTCCTGGTACTGTTTGCCATGGAATTTCTTCCAGAGGTCCCAGTGGTGGTCCAGGGTCGGGTCTTTCTGCAGTTGCGCGCCTGCCAGGCAGCACACCATGGGCATCCAGAACAGCCACCTCATTCTGTTTAAGGAAAAGGAGCAGAGGAAGCACAGCTGTTAGCTGCATGTATTTTGATCATACAATTTCCTTTTGTTTGTGTGTTTATAAATAAACAAGATAGGTTGCTCACCACACAGCCTGGGCTACTCTTGAACTTGTTAACAATCTGCCTGACTCTCCCTGCCAAGGGCTGGGATTACAGGTACAGGTATGCACCACCATGGATGTGGCAATGTGGTCTCAAAACAGAAAGTAACAATGCAACATCTATCAAAGGAACACACTCCTGTAAATTAGGATACTACAAGGAACTTCCTGGAATGTTCAGGAGGAGGAAGGAATTGTGCCCAATATACTATTCTGAATACTTTTAATACTATACCAATACTTTCAGAAGTGACATATGACTTTAACCCCAGGACTCAGGAATCAGAGGCAGGAGGATCTCTGGGAGTTCAAGGGCCAGCCTGGTCCACATGGTGAGTTTCCGTACACCCAGAGCTATGTAGATAGACTCTGTCTGAAAAAGAAAAGGAAATATCTTCAGAAACCTCTCAAGCAGGGCTAGAGAGGTGCTGTGTGGTTAAGAGGCCACTCTTCCAGAGGACCAGGGTTTGCTTCCCTTCACCCATGCCACAGCAATCAGCCTTCTGTGACTCTAGTTCCAAGCTTCTGGTCTCCAAGGGAACTGCATGCACTTGGTGCACATAACATACATGCAGACAAAATACCCACACACGTAAAATAAAATAAAACTAAAAACAAACAAACAAAAATAACTCCCCCCAAACATACTTAGAGAGTTAAGAGCAAAGACTTTGAAGGATTTTCCAACAAATCTAGTCAAGGAAATTCCTCCTTTCTTTCCTCCTTCTCCTTCTTTTGTTTGTTTTTTTGGCACAGGGTTTCTCTGTGTGGGCCTGATTGTCCTGGAACTCCCTCTGTAGACTAGGCTGGCCTGGAACTCAGAGATCCAGCTGCCTCTGCCTTCAGAATGTTGGATTTACAGATGTGTGCTACCACCACCTGGCTCCTTTCTCCTTTCTTAAAGAAAACTTCCTTAGCTGGGGAGGCAGAGACATCTGCCTTTATTCCCAGCACTCGGGAGGCAGAGTCAGATCTCTGTGAGTTCAAAGCCAACCTGGTCTACAAAGTGAGTTCCAGGATAGCCAGGACTGCACAGAGAAACCCTGTCTTGAAAAACAAAACATAGAAACCTTCCTTATGAGGACATGCCTCTATCTTGATTAGCCATTGAAATATTTAAATCACCACAACCTAGTGTGTGCAATACCACTTAGTACCTCACTAATATTTAGTTTCGAAAACAAGCCAGGTGCAATGGCAGGCAGCTTCTGAAGAAGCTGAGGCAGGAGGATTGCTTGAAAAAGGGTGTTCAAGGCCTGTTTGGTCAACATAGATCAAATCTCCAAAATCGATCAACAGTGCTCTAACTTACAGCACTATCTTACTGCACTATCTTACTGCACTTGCCCAGTGATGGTGTGAGCCCCCCCCCACCAGCCTGACCCTAAACATCAAAGTAAATACAAACAACCCAACAGATAAGCTTTCAGTATAAAATAAATGTTCAGACACCTTTACAGATAGCTAGAAGACAGCTCAGGTTTTAGATTGTACACCCTTGGGTACACTTTTTCACTTTTCTCCTCAACAAATCAAATATCTGTTTCTAAGGAAGTACCCCCAAACATCCTTTTCTCAGTAGGAATAGAGGCTACACTTGTGATCCCCTGTGCTGTGGAGGCAGAGGGAGGCAGGGAACGCCTCACAGTTGAGGCCATATCATATCAAGTTCCACGGCAGCCAGCTCTGAGAGGTGAGACCGTCTGTAAACAACAGCACACCCAACACCCACTGTTTCTATGTTTGACAGAAATTCAATATTTGCCTGGAACTGGATCTTTTTAATTCAGAACACCTGGGGTTTTAACTGGGTGCACCTTTAGTTCATGCTCCACAGAAACCCAGGTCTCGGGGACCTCTTACATAGACACTGCTTAATCAGAAAAACAAGAGGCCAACTGAGCGACATGATTTTTGTTTTTAGCTTACTTCCTGAAAGCAAAGATTTAAAAACCTGGCTACCTGGCTGATGAAAAGATAAAGAATGGTTTAGACCAAATATATGAACAAAACAAATCAAAAAGCAGACAGTACATACATGGTAGTGTGGGCAGGAGTGGTCACCCTGGATCGTGGCCCTCACTCTGAAGATGTCCCAGGCAGCAGAAACTGGTTGAACTGACTTTCAAAAGGACTTGGAGCTTGTCACATGAAGCATCCACAATGAGGAAGTGAACTTTCATTTCGGTTTCACATAAACCCTGACGTGAAGAGCTGCCTCCAGCCCACGCCTTCTCACCTTAGAACCACGTGAGCTGCCAAGAGGAACCCCCGGTGGAGACCATCAATAGGATGACCTCAGTGGAGAGTAGGGCAAGGTTATCCTTTAACCCTGCATCATTTTCAGGATCCACTTAATGGAACAGTTTCATTGTAAAGACTTTCGGGTTGGGCTCCTCAAATCTCAGCTCCTTTCTTGGTGATCTGCAGGGATTGTATTTACTGGGTTCTGGCTAGTGATCCCTGACAGGGCTGTCTACTCATCCCACATTCTCACAGTCTTTAACTGGTCTTTGAACTTTGCTTATCTGATATATTTTTTTTTCTATTTGAAAAATTAAAATGTTTAAACAGAATATTTATTCATGCCTGGTATAGTGGCCTATGTCCATAATTCTAGAATTGGAGGCAGGAAGATTGGGAGCTCAAAGCCAACTCAAGCCACAAGAGATGGTTTCAAAACAAACAGGCTGAAGAGAGGGCTCAGTGGTTAAGAGAACTGGCTGATTTGACAGAGGACCCAGGTTTGGTTCCAAGCACCCACAGGGTGACTTATAACCATCTGTAATTCCAGTTCCAGGTGATCCAATGCCCTCTTCCGGTATGTACCTGGTATACACACATTCATTCAGGTACTCACACATACACATAGGATTTTAACAAAGGAAATCTGAAAACAAACCATGTGTGTGGAGGCTCACAGGAGCCTCAGCAATAGGGCTGTCACAAGACTGACAGAGGGCAGCCTGGGCTGTATAGTGCATTTTGGGACAGCCTAACACAAACAATTTCTTTAATCTAAAAAGATGCAAATATGTAAAAGTAGAGAGGCAGCCATAGATGGTGTGACATGCCTATAATTCCAGCATTTTGAAGGCAGAGACAAGAAGATAAGCCTTTACTGCTTGGCCAGTTTCAGCCCAGCCTGGGTTACATGAAAACTTGTCCACAAGATGTAAAACAGGAAAGTCTCTCTGAAACTATAATTTTGTTTCAACGATTGTCAGTAACTGACCAAGTTGTTTCGTTTGTACTCTTTACCCAGATTATTTTGAAATGATTCGGGGATGTCATAGTTTCTTTCCTTTGTACTATGAAATGATTCAGTGTTTAACCTTTGTGTGTGTGTGTGTGTGTGTGTGTGTGTGTGTGTGTTAGTGTGAATGTGGAAGTCAGAGGACAACTTAACCATCCTCTCCTTTAACCGTGTGTCCTAGGGACTGAATTTAGGCTTGGTGACAAGTGCCTTTGCCTGCTAAGCCATCAGGCAGACATGTGTACATTTCTGAAAGACATATGCTAAAGAAATACAAGCACAACCTATGATGACATCTGAATTGACCGTCACATTTAAATGTGAATATGTTTTTCTTGTTTAAAGACTTATTTTACTTTTGGATATGTGGGTATCTTTGTGTTGTGTTCACATGAGTCAGGTGTCCTTGGAGACCAGAAGGGGGTGTCAGGTCCCTGGAGTTGACGTTATAGGTGGCTATTATCTCCCTGATATGGGTTCTGGAAACTAACACTAGACCCTGAAAAGGAGCTGTGCATGCTCTTGTAACTGCTATCTTTCCTGCCCCTTGAAAACAAGGTCTCCTTAGCCCAGACTCTTCTTGGCCCTGCCATGCAGCAGTGTGGTCATGAATTCCTGATCCTCCTGCCTCCGTCTGGAGAATTTCCCACGTTAACAAATTTTACTCTTCCATTTTTGAGGTCAGAACTTATGTTTAAGGCTCCACTGCTGTTCAGGCTCATTTGTGCGGCGTAGGATTTGTCCTGTAAAAAGACTTCATTTTCTGAATGAACCTGTGAGAAACTAGAGCCACAGAATCCCTCTGTGGCGAGGACTGCAGCATCCGCACATCCGCACATCATGCACATCCGCAACTGTTCTGGTGTTGACTCCTTGTGCCCACTGTGCAAATTAGTGTTCTTGTCCGTATCATGGCTTGAGCAGCAGCTTTCCCTGTGTGGTCTGGATAACAAGTTTACAGTTCATAATATTCTCTATGGTTGATTGACTCTGGACTCTCAAAGATTCTGGAAGCCTTCTGCAATTTTTAAAAATAAAGCTTTATTTATTTTTATTTTATGCATATGGGTATTTTGTCCACAATCACATAGGTATGTGAACCATGTGTGTGCAATGCCCAAAGAGGCCAGAAGAGGACACCAGACCTCCTAGAACTGGAGTAACAGACAGTTGTGAGCTGCCATGTGGATACTGGGAATCAAACCTGGATTCTCTAGAAGAGTAATCAGGGCTCTCTCAATTGCTGAGACGTCTCTCTGGCCCCCATACTGCAATTTTTAAAGAAACTGTAGTACCCAAATAGTTAGATGCAGTAACGATACCCACAGGAGTGTTAACATCAGCTGGGCATCAGAGGCAGGCTGGGAAATCGCTGCTCTCGGGCTACAAACAGGAAGTGTGATTAGAAAATAGTTGTGAAATCCACAGTAACCGCAGATCCCTGCCTTCTCTGTTCTTCTGCTATATGTCTGATTGTTGTGCTCTAATGTGTGTGTGGTCATGCGTGTGCAGGAGGGCACGTGTGAGTGTGTGCATAGAGGCCTAAGGACAACCTCCAGTGCCATCCATAGACACACTGTCCTCTGAGTTAGTCTCCCATTGGCTTGTCACACTAATAAGGCTGGAATATTGCTGTCTCCGTCCCCAGCACCTGGCTTCTGGGGGCATGCTATCATGCCTGGACTCTGTACGTGGCTTCTGTGGATCCATCCCAGTTCCTAATGCTTGTAAGGTAAGCACCTCACCACCTGACCCTACATATCTGACTTCACCCTTTTTATGGTGGTGGTGCTTTAGCTTTTATTCCCTCTATATGTATTTGTACCCCCAAACATACATGGCTCAGTTTCCTCAGTGGGAAATGAGCATTGCCCTAGAGTTCCTATTGTTAAAACACTATGAGCAAAATCAGCTTGGGAGGGGAGGGCTTATTGCACTTACAGTAGTACCATAGCACAGGCCATCACTGAGGAGCCCTGGAGGAGCCAGGAAGCAGGAGCTGATGCAAGGCTATGGTGGAATACTGCCTCCTGGCTTACTTAGCCTGCCTCCTTACAGTTCTCAGGACCACCAGCCCAGGGTGACCCTGCCCACAGTGGGCTATATCCTCCCACATCAATCATCCATCAACAAAATGAACTACAGGTCAATCTGGTGGAGGAATTTCTCAAGTGAGGTTTCCTCTTTCAGAATGACTCTAGCCTGTGTCAAGCTGACAAAATATTAAGCAAGACAAGGCTTAAAAAATCATTTCTGTTGAGTGGTGGTGGCACACTCCTTTAATCCCAGGGGCAGGAGGAGCTCTGTGAGTTTGAGCCCACCCTGGTCTACAGAGTGAGTTCCAGGACAGCCAGGGCTACACAGAGAAACCCTGTCTCAAACAAGCAAACAAACAAACAAAACAAGCAAACAAACAAAAAACAAAATAGAAATTACCAAGATAAAAAAATGTAAAATAGGGTTTGGTGAGACCCATCTATAATTTTACCTCTTAGAAGGTGGAGGCAGGAAGATTAGGAATTCAAGATCATTCTTTGTCTTGAGCTGTTAGTTCAGGACCAGCTTGGGTGCATGAGGCTTCTGACAAAGCTGATGAAAGAACAGAAAGAAATTGGGGAAAAAATTTCATACAGTGTTTCGAGCATACTTTCCTCATGACCAAATTCTTTTCCTTATTTGAATGTGTTTTGGGTCGAGCTGAGCACACCTGTGCTTGTGTGAAAGCCTGGAGAAGGCATGGGGTCCCTTAGAGCTGAAGGAATGGGCTTTTACGGCCACTTCGTCACATGGGTACTGGGTTCTAATCTCTGACCCGAGGACTTGTACATCAAGCCCTTTCCAGCACTAGCAGGAAACTTTTTTTATTTGTTACTTATTGGAGACAGGGTGTCATTCTGTCTATAGCCCAGCCTGGGCTTCCTGTGGCAGCCATTCAAGTATTGAGATTACAATACACCATGCATGACTTAAATCTATTTGTGTGTGTGTGTGTGTGTGTGTGTGTGTGTGTGTGTATGGTGTGTGTGTGTGTGTGTGTGTGTGGTGCCTATGGAGGCCAAAGGAGGACATAAAGTCCACCTTACTTTTTTAAGACAGGGTCTCTCACTGAGCCAGGAGCTGGGCAGAGCCAGTGAACCCCAGCAATCGGTCTGTCTCTGCCGATTGTTCTGGGGTTACATTCCCAGCCTGGGTTTCCATGAGGGAGATGACTGATGATTTGAACTCAGGTCTTCATGTTTGGGTAGCAAATGTTTTTCTGTTTTAAGGCTCTTCCCCCACAAAATGCCCATTCTTGAGCATCTTACTCAATGTTGAGCAGACTTTCCCGTAAACCCCATCTTCGCTGTAGCCATGCCCCACCTTGCCCAGCCATTCTTGCTCCTTCTTGTCAAGAGTGGCTTCCTCCATTCCTTGGTCTCCATCTGGAAAGTCCACGTCAATAACTTGCAGGAAACCTCTTCAGGCTTTACCTTTCCTCCTCTGCGGCATTGTGAACCTTCAAATTGTAGCTCAAAGTTAGGACTTCACCCCATACTGTGTCACATACCATCACTTAATCCTCCCAGTGTACTTAGATAATACAAGATCTGAAGTGGTTATGACAGCACAAAGCTGTGATCCCAGCACTTGGGAACTGCAGCAAACTGGATTTTGTACACTAGATCTCCCCTAGAGTGGTACACGCCTGACACGCCACGCTGATTTATCTATCTGGAGTGATGAAAAGACAGGCCGCTAGAACACTGGCACCCTGTGGATGAGGAAAAGCTCCCAGAATGCACAGGAGACAGAAAGGAAGGGAGAAATGAAAGCAGACCAGGGAAGCACATAGAGCCCAGCCTTG